TCTTCGCTGTTTCAAAAATTCACTTCTCCCTCCCTATCAGGTGCTGAGGGATGAAATTTTTTTCACTCATTGTGTATCAAATCCTCAACACGTTGACATAAATTTCATCCCTTAGTCGCAGTTAGGGTGAAAGAAATGAATTTTTGAATTGAATTTTTTTTTCCATCTCTTCGCACTTGTAAAAATTCACTCCTCCCTCCCTAACTGGCCCTAAGGGATAAAATTTGTGTCACTTATAGAGTATTAAATTCTCAACACGTTGGCACCAATTTCATCCCTTAGTCTNTGTACTTCTGAAACACCCTGTATATATATATGTATATACATATATGAAGAAAAATGTTTTTGCCTGTAGTATATTCACTATCCAAACCTCCCATGCGTCCTCTCAGCGTCTTCATTACATTTGTCGTGGGTGATGNAGTATTAAATTCTCAATACGTTGGCACCAATTTCATCCCTTAGTCTCAGTTAGGGTGGGAGGAATGAATTTTTGAATTGAAAATTTTTTTTTTCCATCTCTTCGCACTTTNTGCTGACATCTCAAATTTGAGGAACTCGTGATACTAAGAGACGTCTTCGCGTATGTGGGCCATTTAGACGTTCATCAGTTTCGGTGGTATACTGTTCTCTGCCTGTCACATTTTTTTTTGATGGATTGGGGACAACACGAAGATCTTTGAGGCTACGAAGAAGAGGAAGGTGTGTTGTTGAGCAATGTGAGGTTGACTCAACGACAAAAAAGTGGAATTTTCGCTTTAATAACGAGGAGGCACCTATTGAAGTGGTAGTGGAGGAACTTGAAAGAGCCCTTAGCAGCGGTCGTAAACACATATTACGTGTGACGGAACTCTATTCGANGAGTACTAAATGCTCAACACGTTGACACAAATTTCATCCCTTAGTCGCAATTAGGGNGCAGCGGTCGTAAACACATATTACGTGTGACGGAACTCTATTCGATACGAAAGGCAGGTTTAAAGGCTTTGATTCGGGAGTTAAAACGTGATATAAGGGACAATATAGAGTAATTGTTCCCATACCACCCTTGAAAAATGCGTGTGATTGGCAAAAATTTCCAATACCCGCGTGGCTGTGCGTTCATGCTCCATAGCTACAGTGAAATTGGACAAAGAAGGCTGAATACCGTCGCGCATGATAACGGGCCGTGCGGTAATACCGGAGAAGCGTATGAAATCGAGTATTATGACGGTGACGTCATACGTGAAGCGGTAGATGAGATCGAGGATCATCGGTTAGCCATCGGAAATGGTAAGGTTCAAAGTTTGGAGAGAAATCCGTGAAAGTGATTCATGATTGTACGTTTATTNTACATATGCTGCATATCACATGGATGTGCGCCCGCTTAGCAATCACTCCCCATTGGCCCACCCTTAACTGTCAATAACTTTTTAGGGGTGAGTCTGATCAATAAGTGCAAGAGGACTTTTCTGCTCAGAAACACCCCCTGATCCTAGGGTGTTCAGATGTACATTAGGCAGGCCCAGAAAACATTTTTTCCGAATTTCAATTTGCAAGTTTACGGAAACGAAAGCTCATTAGTTCAAATGACTGTATGATTTTTTTCCGATTTTTAGAACCATATTTTTAGCTTCCGCAACGATTTGGAATTTGTTATGACGTTATACACGTGAAAAAGTCAATTAAGTTTCGAATCGTGATTATATGAGTAAACCTTTCATATTTTCTTGAATACTTGGTGGGAAACTATTGACAAATAATCAAATAATATGAATAATGCTCTTTCGCAATTTCCATTNTCGGTGTGCACCAAGGGAAAAGTGTGCGTCATGCATCAGCGGTCTGGAAGAGGAGCTAGAGAGGGAGCGTACATTCTCACCACCGCCTTTGAAGAGGGTGTGGCCGGTGACACCTGAGGATGCAGCGAAAAGGAGGCGCGGCAGGCCTCGAAAAATACCCAAGCTCTCTCCGTGTCACAATCATTACCAATTATAATGTATATGATTTTATTTTTAGACTGTAATAATTTGTTCTGTGTATTTAGATATATCAACCATGGGAAATAACTATTTACATTTTTTACGCGATNTATATGATTTTATTTTTAGACTGTAATAATTTGTTCTGTGTATTTAGATATATCAACCATGGGAAATAACTATTTACATTTTTACGCGATTGCTAATCATCGACTTGATGAGAAATAAAGTCGTTAAAATTAAATGATGAGAATATTCTTATAAGAAAGAGAATGGTATCAACTCGTCTCTGCAGATGTCAGATTTGCAAGGTAAGCACATGTGGAGACGGCTGGTCTGACCTTCGAGAGCTAGTGCGGGTTACGGTGGAAAAGATGTCACAGAGTGCACGTGCAAAACTGCATGGTCAGCACATTGTTCCAGGGTGAGTAACCAACTCAACGGCTGTCTCCCCAAACCATATAATCATTTTTTTCAGTCTTCAGTGAAGCGCGGCCGTGACAAGATCTCAATTATCGTCAAACATTTGGATTATTGTATATGTGTGTGTGTGTGTGTGTGTGTGTGTGTGTGTGTGTGTGTGTGTGATAGAGTGGGTATTTTTTTGGTGACGTGTGCGCGTAATCATGCGTGGAACTGGGAAAAACTTTGTACCCCCACTAGCACCGTCACCCCCCAGGACGAGCCGACACCATCCACCAGCGGGTACATCCCAAAACCATTGCGCCCCGCCACACCCTCCTCGGACACGTCGTCATCATGCTCGGTCACTGNGTGACGTGTGCGCGTAATCATGCGTGGAACTGGGAAAAACTTTGTACCCCCACTAGCACCGTCACCCCCCAGGACGAGCCGACACCATCCACCAGCGGGTACATCCCAAAACCATTGCGCCCCGCCACACCCTCCTCGGACACGTCGTCATCATGCTCGGTCACTGATGACCATGATTGGTCCACCCTGATCAGGGGGTTCAACAGAGACCCCAACGCCATCGAGGCAGACCCGGACCCGTACGAGTTGCGGGACGGGTATGACGGGCTGGACCCCCGATTCCCGGACCGCCGGTGGACTCTCCGGGTAGAGCAACCTCTCATTCTCTCAGCTGAGCATCTGGAGAATGATACTCGGCACCGGGGTTTCAGTGGACCACTACAGCTGAGATCGTGGCAGAGGGATAGACCATTCCCCATGCTTATCGAGCCAGCCGATTACACCCAGGATCACCTGGTTAGCTGGTTGGAAGAGGAGCGTCGCGAGCGCGACGATTGGGACGCCGAGGACGAGGAGTTGGCCCAGGTGTCGCTGTTCGGGGAGTCCGATGAGGACAGGGACATAGAAGAACTATTGAACAGGGAGTGGTAGTGTTGACGTTTCTTTCCAGTGCCTATGGACCCACAGTGCCAGTGGTTTAGTGACAGTTAGATTTAATGCATAAGGTTATCAATGGCGATTTTCGGATTTTTCAGAGCCCTGTGAGGAGAGTGCAGTGACGGGTAAAGTATTCTTTTAATATGTTTACGGTTTTCGCGGATTTTATCGGAGCACCGGTATGCTCTTTCAGTTCGAAAAATTTTGTCCCCCGAATTTTTGCTATATATTGTGGCCTGAGGGTCAACGGCCCCCCAAAACCACTCGAGATTGNTTTCGGATTTTTCAGAGCCCTGTGAGGAGAGTGCAGTGACAGGTAAAGTATTCTTTTAATATGTTTACGGTTTTCGCGGATTTTATCGGAGCACCGGTATGCTCTTTTAGTTCGAAAAATTTTGACCCCCCAAATTTTTCCCAAATATTGAGGCCTGGGGGCCAACGGTTCCCCCAAAACCACTCGGGATTGGGATACGCGTCCGCAGTACACCTTTTACCCCTCCGCTCACACACGTCAGAGCCGCGTTATTCCGATCGGTGCGATGGTGGGTCCCTAAATATATTAGTGATGGAGGGGCCCAATATTTTTGACCCCCAAATTTTAGTATCGCGGCCGAGGGACCAGTGGTTCCCCCAAAACCGCTCGGGGTTGGGGTACTCGTCCTCAGTATACGCTGTACCCTCACCGCGTACACACGTCGGAGCCGCGCTATTCCGATCGGTATTGTGGTGGGGTCCTATACTTACAAGCGGAGGTGGGGGGTAAAATTTTTGACCCCAAATTTTCATTTCGTAGCCGAGGGACCAGCGGTTCTCCCGAAACCGCTCGGGGTTGGGATACACGCCCGGGTGACGCACCCGCAGCCACGCTGTACCCCACCGCTCGCACACGTCGGAGCCGTGCTACTCTGACAGGTGTGGCGGTGGGGCCATATCGACTTTAGGTGGGGGGCGCCATAGTAGTTCCCATACTACTCAGGAATAAACAATATTGAGTTGGCATTGATGAGTTCAAACTTATGAAATTTGTAACAATACAAGCCGACTGTAGAAAAAAGCTGAAATTGTTTCTAGATGTTATGAAAAGTTCTGTGATTTTTCAAAATCACAAGTACAACTTCATGAACTTGGCGCTCTTTTTTATTTCTACACTTTTTTCAATTTCCCAGAAACAATTATCCATAAATAAATACTCAGGCATTTTTCCACCACAACGCAGTGAAATGGTTACTCGGCATTTTTTCAATTTTTTTTTCTGAGAAACAATACAATTTTTTTTTGAAAAAATGCAATGCATGCAAAGGCGCACCTGGCCCTTTTTTTCAATAGAAATTTTGTTTTTGTTTTTGGGGGATTTCAATTATTTTTCCAAACCGAATGACTTCCGTCACAAGAAAAGACTCCAGATAATATGCAACATTATTTGGATTTAAGTTTGAAGGCTTTCGCGGTCATGATTAATGACATTATTGGCTTCCGGATGGATGCCGCGTTTGGTTTCAGCAGTGCGCCGACGTTTCGCAAACATTGCAGTCTACGTCTCCAGTGCTGTGAGCTCCGATTCTGAGCTCTGATGTCTGAGGGTAGTCCTTTTATATCTTCCCCTGCGCTGGTGGGGTAGGGGAAGAGAGGGGGGTCAGCCAATCATGTTTTAATTGATCAATTGATCAATTAAAAAACCAGGGGGATGGTTTTCCAAATAGGGTTCACTTGATATCCCCTATCCCTGTCGATGTTGTTAGGGTTTTTGTAGATCTCCAAGCCTTCTCGGTATTTCCTTTCGAAATATCCTGGAGACTTGGCCAACATTCTGGCTTGATCGTACTCGATACTATGTCCAGCGTCCATCGCAATGTTCAGCAAGAAGGGCAGACTGTTGTAAGTGACCGTATTTGGAATACCGTTGGTGTTCCTTGATCCGTATACGGATCTTCATCCCAGTTTCACCAATGTACACTTTTTTGCATGAGCAGGGGATCTCGTACACTCCAGGTGTACTCAGAGGCGGTCTGGGATCTTTCGCACTCGGCAGCGTCTGTTCAATCTTCTTTGGGGGTTGGAAGATTGTTCGGATGTTGTGTTTGCCGAGTACTCTGCTGATGCGTTCAGTGGTGCCTCCCAGGTAGGGGATGAGGACCACTTTAATTTTCTCCTGATTTTCTTCAGGATTAATCTCCTCTTGAGGAGATGAGAGCTTGCTCTGTAGCTTTCCCTTGACCTTTTGAATTGGTTGGAGGTTATATCTATTCTTGGTCAGAGCTGTTCCTAGATGTTCAATTTCGCTGTTGACGTTGGAGGGTTGGGAGATCGTAAGAGCTCTGTACATTAGGGAGCTAATGACCGAGTTCTTCTGGGAGGGGTGGTGATGGGAGGTAGCATTAAGGTACCTGTCTGTGTGGGTCGGCTTGCGATATACTTGATGAGCCAGAGTGACATCCTTATTGCGAAGAACCAAGACATCCAGAAATGGGAGGCATCCGTTCTGTTCAATTCCCATGGTGAACTTGATGCTCGGGTGCTGAGCATTCAAGAACTCCAGGAATTGGTTTAGACCAGACCTCCCATGTGGCCAGATGACAAAGGTAGCGTCCACATACCTGAACCACATATTAGGTTTCTGCGCTGCTGACTTCAAAACTTCGTTCTCAAAGTGTTCCATGAAAATATTTGCAATGATCGGGGAGATGGGGGAACACATTGCTGCTCCCGATTTTTTCTCATACAACTCTCCTTCGAACTGGAAGTATAGGGAGGTCAAGCAGTGCTCAAACAAGGGGAGGAATTGGGGAGAGATGTTGTTAGACTCCTTGATTATTACCAAGGTTTCCGGGATTGGGACGTTGGTGCAGAGTGATTCTGCATCAAAACTCACTAGGATGTCATCTGGAGAAGTCCTGAGATTCTTCAGTTTGTTGACGAAATCTAGCGAGTTCTGTATTTATCAACCATTCAGGCCAGTCAACTTTTGGAGTGGTTTCGTAAGAAACTTGGCCAGTTAGTAAGTTTGTGCTCCAGTGTTGCTGACAATGGGCCGCAGAGGAACAGACGCTTTATGGATTTTGGGAAGTCCATAGAGTCTAGGAGGAAAAGATTCTTTGGGAGTGAGGAATTTTGTCAGATCAGCTGAGAGACCAGCCATCTTTAGGAGATCAGTACTTTGACGCTCAATAGTACGAATAGGATCTTTCCTGAGCTTTGTGTAAACTCTCGAGTCACCCAACATCGCACAGTGCTTTCCGGAGTAGTCGCCCTTATCCATCACCACCCTGGCATTGCCTTTGTCTGCCGGAAGAATAACGAGATGATTATTCTCCTTTAGCCTACGCAGTGCAAGAGGTTCCTTCCTAATAATATTGTCACTAGGGGGAGATTGAAGAGATGCTACCGAGTGCGAAAGATCCCGACCGCCTCTGAGTATACCAGGAGTATACGAGATGGACTGCTCATGCGGAAAAGTGTACATTGGTGAAACTGGGAGGAAGATCCGTATACGGATCAAGGAACACCAACGGGGTTCCAAATACGGTCACTTACAATAGTCTGCACTTGTTGAACATTGGATGGACACTGGACATAATATCGAGTAAGATCAAGCCAGAATGTTGGCCAAGTCTCAAGGATATTTCGGAAGGAAATACCGAGAAGGCTTGGAGATCTACAAAAACCCTAACATCAATACGGAAAAGGGATATCAAGTGAACCTTATTTGGAAAATGATCCTCCCGGTTTTTTAATTGATGAACTGATTCTGCTCTGAATCCGATAGTGGATTCTGCTAAGGAAGTCAATATGCTCAAGAGGACAGGTGGTCCCCGGATCTCCTGCTCTCACCTTCCAAATAAGGTATGGTATGATGACAAATGTAAGGGTGTGAGGGGAGAGATGGTGAGGGAACTGGCTGTCTTCAAGCAGTCAGGATTCAAGGGTGAATTTGGGGTGAGTTATCTGGATCTGAAGAAAAGATATGTAAACTTGCTCAAACTTAAGAAAAAGCTTTATATTGATTCGGTTAGGGACATTTTGGCGAATATTCACCAGTCTTCAGTAACTCTCAATAAATTCAGACCTTTCTCCTCTTCAGTATCAGCTATTTCTCTGGATGAATGGTACCAATTTTATCAACAAATCACTCCCCCAAAAGTATTTTCTGTTATCTCTTTTCCCATTTTCACTGATGTTTTATTGGATGCGCCAATTAGCAACAAGGAATGCATTCCCTACCCCCGGGACAGCTGTGACGAGGCGATTCTTTTATTTTTATTTGTTTTTATTTCATACTTTGCCCAACTATACACTGCCCCCTAAATAATAAAATCCCGCCACCATTGGATACCCCTTCCCTCGATTTTCCCCTCATCGCCCCTCTACTCCCGCCACTGGACATCAAGAAGACATCCCTACCCATTGATACCACCCCTAGAAAAATGGATCTCCTGACTACGGGAGATAACCCTCCGACCACCACTCACCCGTGCTGATTGGCTGCGATTCCTCCCGAATTAAAACCCGAAGGACTTCGACACCTGACGAACCCCCACGAATCGCGGAGGAAAAGGAAAGACCGTCACTCGTGCAACCGCTGTCCTGGACATTGCCACGTGTACCCCAAGAGTTGAAGAAATAGTGTATATACCCCGAAATTCCGTATATTGGATTTTGTGATGGAGTGAAGAGGATTTTGGTGCCTGAGCTCATCCCGGCTCTAAATACTGTGCCCTTGGAGTCTGGAAGGAGGAACGGAGGCTCAGTCGTAGGAGTTGCTGAAGGCCCCGAATTCTTGGACGTTCAGGCCACAACAGGAAGTCATGAGTACGAGTTACCCCCCTCATTTTCCCTATTGTCCCCACAATATTACCCTCCATACCCCCCAACGGTGAGCCTACACTCTTTTGTTTCTTCCCCATTTAGTCATTCTTCTTATATTTAGTTGCATTCCCTCGACACGACTAGCTTCTCCCCTTTTTCCTGCATTAGAGTCACTCCCTTTGCACGTGTACAAAAGTTGCCTGGCCTTACTCATAACCCTAGATTCAAGTAAAAGGCATTTCAAGCGTCTTACGACGATCTATCATGTAAATTAATAGAAATATAGATATTCAGTTAATTTTATCCCTCATTTGTCAGATGAGATTGCTAACGAATTTCTGAAATTTTTGCCTTCTAACTGGCTTCTTTATCTTGAGACACTTTTCAATAAAATTATGGATGCTGAGAAAGTGCCTAGTTCTTGGGGGTCTGCGACCTTGTCAATGCTGTATAAAAAAGGGGATAAACACGATCCTCTAAACTATAGAGGTATTGCCTTGTGCAATTGTATCACTAAATTATTCACTAAGATTTTAAGAGACAGAATACAGAAATGGGCAGATAAAGAGAGGATCTTGGATGAGAGTCAAGCGGGGTTCAGGTCTGGTAGAGGATGTTTGGACCAGATTTTTGTCTTGAGTAGTGCAATACAAATGCAATTGAGATTAGGTAGTAGAAAAATTTATAGCGTCTTCGTTGACTTCCGTCGCGCGTTCGACTCTGTGCCTCATCTTAAACTCTGATCTAAACTGCTGAAACTGCGCTTGACCCCTAAAATTGTCAAGATTCTGAAGTCTCTGTATGACTGTGCCTCCATCAGAGTTAAAGCGGGTGGTTTACTGTCCGAAGAGGTTCCAGTCTCTCAGGGGGTTCTCCAGGGTGAGTCATTGAGCCCGATGTTATTTATCCTGTACATCTCGGACATGGAGAAATACTTGAGAAATCTTGGATTTAAGGGGGTCAATATCAATGGTAGGGATGATGTACTTCTCCTGCTCTACGCAGATGACTTAGTCAGTCTAACTGAGAGTGAATTTATTTTACAAAAAATCCTAGTTGCTTTGCATTCCTACTGTTTGGAAAATGAGTTGACAGTTAACTCAGATAAGACAAAGATCATGGTGTTCAGGGAGGGTGGTTGCCTGAGTCCCTCGATAAAATTCACTTATGACTCAGAAGGCTTGGAGATTGTCTCCTCTTATATGTATCTTGGAGTTTTATTCAGTTCTTCGTCTCTGGGGTCTATAGCGATACGTGAAGCAGTTCGGAAAGCCAAGCAAGCAAATGGCACGATCATTAGTCTTCTTACAAGCTCCAGATGCGACTCGTGGCACTCTATGTCCAAGTTATTCGAGTCTATCTCCAGGCCTACCCTCCTGTATGCCAGCCCAGTTTGGTCCCTTGACTATTTTGATTTAATTGAAACCGTACAAACTGCTTTTTTTTTAAAAGATTACTGTATCTGCCTAATTGTGCTCCCAATTGCGCGTTAAGGCTTGAACTGGGCTTGGTTAGGGTTGAGCATGCAGTTATGAAAGACACAATTAATTATATAATAAAAATTCTGAAAATGTCAGATGAAAGACTTCCTAAAATTTGTTATTTGCAGCTAATGAAGTATTCTTTTAATCCAAATCCATTCAAAGATCCTGATAAGCTCCGCAAATTTAATTGGACTTTTAGAATTAAGGAATTTTTAACTCTTGTCGACTGTATAGAACTCTGGGGAAATTATAATGTTGATATCTGGATAAGAGATACAGAGAAAATGCTGGACCGCTATAAGAGGGTGCTGGTTGAGCGGGATTTGGTAGAATGGTCTATGCTCTCGCATAAGATCCCAATTGAGAGAGGCGTCAATGCTTTTGCTAATTCATATTTAACCCGCAGATGTCCTATTTCTATGCTGAGAGTTAAAGCACAGTTGAGATTAGCTAGCCCGTACAACTGCAAATTTGTCATTGCGGGGAATGTGTATAAACTATTACCCTTCGAGGTATGCCGCTGTTGTACCTCAGATGCCCGCGAGTCGATTCTACACGTGTTACAGTTTTGCCCTTTTTATGATGCCCTGCGTCTAAAGTATATCTTTCCCTATCTGCGTGGTGTCTCTTCAAAGGATTATTTGTCTTTTTTAGACTCTCCGGACAAGGCTCATACCAGAACTCTCTTTTACTTTCTATCCAGCACTCTCTCCTTAAGAGAATCCTTTTTGTTAAGTCTAGAGAACATGTACTTTAAGCTCGATCAGCTGATTACTAAATTTCTGATTCTAAATGATAAGAATGGCAACAACGCACAAGACTCTTTACCTAATTTTAGCGATGATTTGTAATTAACTTTGGCCAAGTAGAATTAATTCCTATATCTTTATATCCAACCTCTGTTGCACCGCACTTGTTTTTATTTTATTTATTTTTATTTTTCTTTTATTTTTTGTGCTATTATTCTAATATTGTTAACAGAGCCCCTCTAGTCGCTCAGCCCACCTATGTATAAACGCTTTTGTTTTACTTTATGTAATTCTCTTTTTTTTCGTATTATTACCCGTGTATGAACCACTCCTGTCATAGGGAGTCCACCCCTAGGTGACAGTTTAAATAAATAAATAATTTAAAATAATATTAAATGTCCGTGAATAGTTAAATTCTAAAAAGAAAAATTTATTTTTCTCCGAGTGTAACAGAAAATGTTTTCATTCCGTGAAAAAAAATTCACTAAATTAAGTGACAGTGAAATGCGAACAATTTTGTGATCATTTAGGAAAAATTAGGAGACAGTGGGATTAAATGGACGCTTTGAACCCTTTCCAAAATATTGATGTCTTATTGAAGTGCTGATGAAATAGATTTTTTTTAAAATTAATGTACAGTCAGCCCCTTTGTAATAAGCTTAGACTGAGCTCAATCNTCATTTAGGAAAAATTAGGAGACAGTGGGATTAAATGGACGCTTTGAACCCTTTCCAAAATATTGATGTCTTATTGAAGTGCTGATGAAATAGATTTTTTTTAAAATTAATGTACAGTCAGCCCCTTTGTAATAAGCTTAGACTGAGCTCAATCGATAAATTTGTTCCTTGGTTATAAATATTGAAATAAGAAGTCAGAGGAGTCCATTCCACCCAATGTTTCCCTAATATTAAAAAAAAAAAGAAAACAAAAACCGATGTTTTCAAAAAGAATTCTGTGTGAACATTTTGGTCGACTATTCCTATAAGGTAATCAGTTCATCTCTCCACAAAATACAATACATATAGGAATCATCAGAGCAAAAATTAAATGAGGAAGCAAATCAAGTCAGAAAATTGTTAATACATGATTAAAATTTGAAATTCGGTGGAGAGAATAAATCTGGAGTAGAACTGTTTATTTCCCTTCAATTGTTGATTCAAAAAATGTTCTATCTGATGAAAAATGAATCAGTTAAATTGAATTGAAAAGAACAAATTTCACCGGATGTAAAAACAGTCCTTGCTTATTTTGAAAAAAATAATGAAATCTGCCTAAAAACACAAAAACAAATGTTTTTCTAAAAAAAACTGGGCCAAGAAAAAGTTTTGTTTGATTCCTACTGGGAAATCGAACTATTTTTCTTATAGAAACCTGAATATGCACTATCACCATTTATTTAAAATTGCTAACTTGGCTTCCTTTTTTATTTCTATGTATCTTTCAAAAACTTCGATTTCCCAGTAGGAATCAAACAAAACTTTTTCTTGACCCAGTTTTTTTACAAAAACATTTGTTTTTGTGTTACTAAAACTCGCTCCAATATTGTTATCAACTGGAGATTCCCATGTTTTATCTTGGTACACCCTCAAGAACCCAACGGTTCTTAATTCAAGACTTCTTACTCGAAATATGGTTACAAGTCGTAGTGATTTTTATTATTTGATCCTCAACAACTGTAGGTCCTTCGGATTACTTCCCTGTTTGACCCTTAAGCGTCTTTGACGCGTCAAAAAGAAAATTTGCTACCGTTCCACTTTGCCCCGCGTTCCACTTTACCTCGCCGTTCCACTTTGCCCCACCGTTCCACTTTGCCGCGATCTCCCCTACGTTTCGGAGATATTTTTGAAAAAATGACCGACTCAATTTTTATGGTTGTGAATTCTAAGGCCCCCCCCCCCCCCCCCCGCCTCCAAATTTTCGTAGAAAATCGCTATCTCTCGTAGTGTAGGAGATATTTTTGAAAAAAAGACCGACTCAATTTTTTCGATTGCAAATTCTCAACACACACCCCCGCCCCCCAAATTTTCGTAAAAATTCGCTATCTCCCTTAGTTTCGGAGATATTTTTGGATAACCTCAACGGTAACCCCCCCTTTCATAAAACACCCCTGTTAAAAATCTTGTGTGATTTTGTTGATAGGATGGTCGGGAGGGAAAGTGAAGTGGGATGAATTGCCGGAAAATGAATCAAGATGAGTTTCGTTGATTTTCACTGTATTTAAAAACATAGTGCACTGAAACATACACTCGATGGATTTCGAATCAATAGTCGATTTACCGAAGTGGACTGTACAAACACGGAATATTTAGATAATTGACCGGATAATTTACGATGAGGTTCGATAACTTTACCGATGAACTTCCCGATAAATGCGCTGATGTGCGCCCGGATAATTTTCAGTGATTCGGTCCTGATGAGAGTCGATGGTGTACTGAGCACCGTGGAAAACGCTCACGGCTACGTGCGTGCTCGTCGATGGTCTGGAATTACCGTAAATAACGGAAGAACGAGTTCGCCCAAAATACAAGCCAGATTTTGAACATCCCGCCCGCCCTGCGTCACCTCCTGGTGACGAAGTATAGTTGATGGTCCTCACTGTTGATCCTCCAGTAGGTCTGCATTGAAGGGCAATGGAACTAGTCTGTGAATTGCCTTTTGAATTTCCTGATGCCCTTTCCTCAGTGTGACAACTGTTGTCAGGTTGTCCGGTCCTGGATGAATTTCGATGATTCGGACGAAGGGCCAATTAACTGACGGTTCCCGTTCGTCCGTGATGAGAACCAACGAACCAATATTAATTTCGTTCGTTGGCTGTCTCCACCGGTAGATTTGCTGATATCGATGAATGCACTCTCGTGCCCAATGCTCCCAGAAGTTTTGGATCCTGTGGGTGATAATTTGCCACCTGTTGAGTCTGTTCGTGGTGATTTGCTGGAGTGATGGTTTAGGAGCCATCGTGAGCGGCTCCCCATGATGAAATGCCCCGGTGTCAGAGCTGATCTGTCTTGCGGGTCGTTGGTGAGTGGGCAGAGTGGCCGAGAGTTGAGTATGGCCTCGACTTGAGTCAGAAGAGTCGTCAATTTGTCGTACGTCAAGGTCGAGGTCCCGATGATCCTCCTGAGATGATGTTTTGTTGACTTAACACCGGCCTCCCACTTGCCTCCCATATGTGGCGAGTGAGGGGGGTTGAATATCCACTGTGGCACGTCTGATGCTAGGCGATCCCTGATGACAGCCGATTCGCTGGATGCCTGGTCGAAGAGATTTCTAAGTTCTCTCTCTGCCTCGATGAAGTTGAGTTCCCTGTCACTGGTCAGGGTCGTACAGATACCCCGTCTTGAAGTGAAGCGTTTATAAGCCGCGATGAAGCCCTCCGCTGTCAGATCCGTTACCATTTCCCGATGAGTTGCTCATGTGGCGACGCAAACAAACAGACAGATTTACGCCTTGTACATTGTTTTGCTTGTCCCTGATACTCTCCATCTCAGAACGTTGATTGGGCCAGCAAAGTTCACTCCTGAGTGGAGGAAAACTCTTGATGGTGTCACTCGTCGCGCCGGCAGTTGTCCCATCAGTTGTTGAGCCCTCAATGCTCGATGACGTGCACAGATAACGCACTTTATAATGTGCGAGCGTACTGGAGGTCGCCCACCGATGATCTAGTACCTCTTTCGGATGTGTGCCAATGTTAGTTGAGTTCCCCCATGGAAACTCCGTTGATGAGCGTCTGCGATGATGAGCGTTGATAGCGATGAGTGACATGGGAGAATAATTGCATTTTTCTCCTCCGGATCCAACGTTGATTTTCGTAGACGTCCGCCCAGGCGCATGACGCCGTCCTCCAGATATGGCGTCAGCGACGCCATTCGATGATTTGCTGCCAGTGAGTTGCCTGCCCGTAGTGTTGATTTCCGCCTCGAAGTAGAGCTGTTGAGTGTGCCTCACCCAGTACAGTCTTGCCTCTTCGAGCTCTCGTGGTCCTAATTGGAGAGATTCCGGCGGCGGCTGCCGTTGTAAGCGTCTTGCGGCTCGATGGATCCAGGCTGTGATCCGCAATAGCTTCTTCAATGATGAATATTTGATGAGCAGTGCATCCTCCTCGGCGATTTGCATTGGATGCGAGCTGTTGATTGGCGCTCTCACTTCTCGAGCCGCTTCTGATGATATCTCCGCTGTCGATGATAGATCCATTGATGAGGCTAGCCATTGCTCCGGTGGCAGGACAAGCCATGAGTGTCCTGTCCACCAGAGATGATGCTCCGCCAGTTGCTTCGGTGATAGACCCCTTGATGCGGAGTCTGCCGAATTCTCCTTGCCATTGATATGTCTCCAATTGGCAGACCCTGATGGAAAGAACATGTATCCGGATATATATCTCAGTATATTTCACTTATATTTCGGCCAAAAATGTCATATGCCAGATATATCCTAGTTATAAATAGGCATATTTATTTCGATGTAAAATATTTAACATATATCTGCATTATATCTCAGATATATTGTCGATCGAAAATGTGGTATGCCAAATATATGCTAGATATAAGTGCTGCATATATCTCATTCCCATAAGGGGAAGGCAGAGTAACTCTTATTTTAAGAACCCTGTTCTGCACGAGGTCCTTCCAACGGGATGGATCTCCGTTAATCCAGGGAGCCTATTCTCGATCCAGGATTGCACAGTCGTATGAAAGCCCATCGTGAACGGAGGCGCTCCGTGTGCGGTGGGGTCCGTATGGGTTGAGACCATCGTATGCGACTTTGGCTCCGTACGCTCCCATGCGATTTTCACTCGGCGCTCGGTTTCGTATAACGCTTTGACGCGACTTAACCTCACACTTTGACATTCCCCTGGGACTGATTATTTACGTAAAAATTACTGTAATTATTCACATAACATTACGAACATCTATCAACTGAGGATGTTTCTTCACATATTCCAACATCACCCTTCGCTGGGGCACTCTGATATTTCTCGGGTTTTTTACTGCATTTTGTTTGTTTTTTGTTGCCTTCTTCACAACTTTTCCATTTGCTGATTTACGCCTTATTATTGAATGAATTAATGAGTAGATTTTCGGATAAAGATGTAAGAGTAATGTATAAATAATCACAGTCCCAGGGGAATGTCAGAGTGTGAGGTTAAGACGCGTCAAACCATCATACGAAACCGAACGCCGAGTGAACATTGCATGGGAGCGTACGGAGCCAAAGTTGCATACGACGGTCTCAAACCGTACGGACCCCACCGTTGATTCCTCAAATTCGATGGTTGGAGCTGATTCCGATGAAAGCCCGAGTCGTTCCAAAATGTGTGGCACATTGTTGCACCATTTCTGCAGGGGCATGCCGCCCGCCATGCAGAGGTTGATTAGCTGTTTGATGATCTCCTCCAGTTGATGCTCCGTTTCTGCACCTCCGTATATGTCGTCGATATAAAGTCCCTTGATGAATGTCGGTAAGGCCAGTAGAAATCGATGACCTTCGTCGATGGCCAGCTGCTTCAACACACGTAGCGATAGCCAGGGTGCACAGCTGGTACCATAGTTGACTGTTGTCAGTTGATACTCGATGGGTTGGCCGTTGTCGTCCTTCCAGAGAATTCGTTGATAGTCCCAGTCGTCTTGTTGTACCCGGATCTGACGAAAAATCTTCACGATGTTCGTGCCGAAAACAAACCGATGCCGACGTAGCCAGATGAGAACGTCGGAGCTATTGATTTGCAGTTTAGGTCCCGGATGGAGGATGTCATTCAATGACACCCCCATTCAGCTTCGATGCGAGGCGTCGAACACCACTCTCAATTTTATGGTTGTGCTGTCTGGTTTAAGCACTGCGTGATGAGGCAAATAATATGCCCGTTCCGGCTCAGACGTCGATGATACTTGTTGCATGTGGTCCAAGGACTCATACTCCTCGATAAATTTCTTGTAGCGTGAATGAGTGTCCGGATCCGATGACAGTCGCCGGATGAGCTTCTGCAACTGTCCCTTGGCCGCTGATGCTGTATCCTCCAAGGCGGCTGGCGATGATTTAAACGGGAGACGCACAATGTAGCGTCCCGTCGAATCTCGTCGATGAGTCTCGATAAAGTGTTGTTCACACTCCGCTTCAGCCTTCGTCAAGACTGATGATGATGATGTATCCGGTAGTTCCTCATGAGTCCAAATTTTTTTCAGGAGTTCCAAGAGTTGTTGGTTTGCCGTCTGTTTTGTTACTTTCAATGATGAATTCGGAGCACAGTCAGTGCCGCAGACTGGCCCCGAAATAGTCCAGCCGAAGATGGTTTGCTGGGCTATCAGATTCGTCTCCTTGAACCCGATGATTCTCTCTCTGATGATTCTCCCGTAGACGTCAGCTCCGATGATGATGTCGATGACCCCAGGTTTTAAAAAGTGAGGATCTACCAGTTGAAGTTCACGTAGTTGATGAGGAATCGTTGATTCGCAAGTGAATGGCGGTATGTTCGCCATCAGTTTGGTCAGGAGGTGGGCGTTAATATTGATTTGAACAGCGGGTTCGTATCTCGGTTGTAAGGCGAGAGTCACTGCACCACGCGTGCTCCCCGATCAGGTTTCTCCGATGCCGACGATGAAAATTGATGATCACATCCGCTCCAGATGAAGTTGATTGACCAAGCGCTCAGAGACTAGTGTTATCTCTGAGCCCTGGTCGATAAGGATCCGTGTTGGCCTTGAATTTCCGTGACGATTGAGGGCGAAGACCCTCGCCGTCAGCAAGATTACCAGTGGAGTTGCATTCTGATGAGGTCGTTGATCTTCCAAAACGTTGATGGTTCCCACCGGATTCACTTGGTACAGTTCTGATTGTCGATTGACTTGGTACTCCTCCGATTGACGATGATCTCCAACTAACATGGGTTTTAAATGAGGTTGATGTCCTACCTGGTACTTTTTTGATTGTTCAGGATGTCCAATCTGATTGTGCGAAGTCGTTGATCTCTTCTTCTCGATGAGTGTCCGTGCAGATGATTTAATTGTGATGCTGCCCGTTGGTGCGATGATGGACCAGATGACTTGTTGACAGGTACCTGGTTAATTGATGTCTGTTCCTTGATGATGGTCCGGTTATCGCCTGTCAGCAAATAGCAGTTGAATTCCCCTCAAAATATTATTATAATAATTTGGTACTCAACCGCTTATGTTGGAGTTTGATGACGTTGAGGCTCCTGATGAGTCCACTGTTGAATTTCCCGCTGTGACCGGGGCGTTGTGGATGAGCGTGTGACGCAGTCCCCGTCACGTCTTGCACTTCCGGTCACTCTTGCCTTTATGTGCTCGATAGGGGCCTATGCAGTTGTACCACAGGCCGCTGCTCTCCAGTAACTGCTTCCTTTCATGCGGCCTCCAGGAGATGAACTTCGAGCATTTAGCCCCGATCCAATGAGGCCCGCCGCAGACAATGCAATTCCTCTTGGCTAATGGAGGCTCCGTTGATTTGCTGGATGGGGTTGCTAATGATTTCCCCGATAATTTCCCTGATGACACCTGGTGCACCTTCACCGTCGGCTTCGGCTTGGGTTGCTGGCTTCGTTGGGGCTCCGTTGTGCTCCTCCCGTTCCACGTTCTCCAAGGCTCGTGCTCTAGCTTCGAGGAACTCCAGGAAGATCTTCAGCTCCGGAGGTTGTGTTGAGCCCCCAGAGTTTCACCTCCCAGGCCTCCGTGGTGTCTGCGTCGATAATTCTCCTCATGATGTGGGCCACGATGATGTCCGCGTGTTCGGTGGGAGCCCCCAGTGACGTCAACGCTTCCAGGGCTTCAGTTGTGTTGTTGACGATAGCCAATAACCCTGCAGCTGACTTCTCCTAGAGCCGCTCCATGTTGAGTATCCGATTCAGATCAGATGCCATTATGAGCCTCGGATTCTCGTAACGTACGATGAACTCCCTCCAGGCGATGGAATAATTCGCTGCCTCAACTCCAATATTTTTTATAAGTGCCTCCGCCTGGCCCTTCAGGACGCCCTTCAGCCTCACCATCTTCTCCATTTCCGCCATCTTCGGGTTCTCGTGAACGAGCGAGAGGAAGATGTTATAGAAGGCCTTCCACTCGGCGTACTTCCCAGAGAACTCTGGGATGTCAATTCTCCGAAGAGTGCTTATTGATAATGTTCCTGATGACGTCTTGTCTCGTTCGTTGGCTCGAATTTGAGCCATGATCCTCCCAAGCTCTTATACCGCCTTTGAGTATGGGTTGAGAGCCTGCTGGAAGGCGTCCTCCACAAAATAGGGATGTTCGAGGACGTCTTCGGTGACACCCTTGATCAGTGCCTCGTGGTACGATGAGAAATTCATCCATTGTGTTTCCACGACGCGTTGGTGGGCCTCAATGTCATCTGCGATCAGGCTAGCGATTTTCTCTGTGTTGAGTTCCCCGATGATGTTCTCCAAATTCCTCAGTCGATTCAGTTGTAGCCTGACCTTCAGCTCAAAACTGCTCGGTCACGGGGTAACTCTCTTTTTCAATTATTGAGGCTCCTCCGAATGGATGACACTGTCTATCATTTTGTTGATTAAATTCTTTATGAATTCCTCGGTGGCCTCCGTCTCCTCTACTACATCAGCTCAGTATGATGTTGATCCCCCTGTAACGATAGACATTAGTTTGTCTTACCTATCGTCGAGTTACCGACCGTAGGATTACCGACTACCGCGCTACGTTCCACCGATAGGCTGCCGCTTCTGGATATGTTGAGTGACCGAGTGAGGAAGAGCCGCAGCGCTCCCGCTATGACTGCGAATGGATGGATATGGAGGACTCCGAGGATTGCCGAAGGGCTACGGGGAATGGCGATGAGTCGACCGTTGAGTCTCCGGGGTGACGTCACGCCGTTCCTCGTATTGAGTGTCCCCTGTTGCCGATGTAAACAAAGGCAATGGAATTTATTGCCTCGATAGAACGGTTGAGTGTACGACCTCTATGTGGTTTCCCTTGATATAGTTTTGTGAACCGCGAAAAGCCTTGTTACGCACGGCGTCGGTTTTTCACTCACGATGATTTTCCACTGCTTTATCTTTTTCCACGATAATTGTCCACTGCACTATCACTCCACTATCCGGCTCGAAGGACCAATGTTAAAAATCATGTGTGATTTTGATGATAGGGTGGTCGGGAGGGATCGTGAAGTAGGATGAATTGCCGGAGAATAAATCAAGATGAGTTTAATTGATTTTCACAGTATTTATAAACTTAGTGCCCTGAAAAATACACTCGATGGATTTTGAATAAATAGTCGATTTACCGAAGTGGTGTATACAAATACGGAATATTTAGATAATTGACCGGATAATTTACGATGAGGTGCGATAACGTTACCGATGAACTTCCCGATAAATGCGCCGATGTGCGCCCGGATAATTTTCTGTGATTTGGTCCTGATGAGAGTCGATGGTGTACTGACCACCATGGAACACGCTCACGACTACGTGTGTGCTCGTCGATGGTCGGGAATTTCCGTAAAGGACGGGGAAATGAGTTGGCCCAAAATACAGGCCAGATTTTGAACAACCTCTCTTTGCAAAACCCCCCACTTTAGAACCTCCCCGCCGATATCACAACCCCCCGTTTTGCAAAATTCGCGCTCAAAAATTCAAAAAAATTTCCCGATTTTAGAAATTTTTTTTTTCACATCAAGTATAGTTTGGTTTAAAATTAATCCCAATTCTAATCATTAATTTTAAATGATTTTCTTCTAAAACGTAGGAAAAAGTTACTCCACTTCTTTGCTCTATGCGTCTGTAATTTTTTTCATATTCTACAAGGGTATTTACATATTTTTGTTAATGAATTAATATAATTATCAAATTATGGCACAGACCGGGAGTGAAATTCTCAGTATGATGAATTTCACGATGCTAATTATTTATTTGAGTCGAGCAAGGTGCAGAGTATGCGGTTTGGTGGGGAAGCGATTGAGAGGGTCAAATCATATACGTATTTAGGCATTGAGTTCGCGAACACCATGTCTTGGCTCTCTGCTGCTAATAGCGCCATCCAAAAAGCGAGAATTGCAGCTGTGTCTGTTTTCAAGATTTTGTCTAAAACCAGATCTGACCCCTGGTCCAGTAATTTAAAACTGTTCAACAGCATAATTTCCTCAACTCGAACTTCTGGCTCCCCAGTTTGGGCCATTCGTTATGGCGATCTTCTAGAGTCTGCCCAGTTATTCTATTTCAAAAGAATTTTTCATTTGCTGTCATGTACACCCAGTTATTTACTAAGATTGGAATTTGATCTGGCCCCAGTGTTAGTACGAATTTTTAGTTTGACTTTAGGTTGGATAATTAAAATCCTCGCAATGGAGGACTCGCGTCTTCCAAAAGTGTGTTATTTACGTCATCTTATATTATTCAAAAATAAATCGAGTTCATTGAAAGATAAGGACAAGGAGACTAGGATTTTAGAATCTTCCAACTGGATTTACCAAGTTAATCTGATAATGAGGAAAATTGAGGGCTGAAGACATGTGGAACAGCTTAGATAGTGAGTATTGGGAGAGTGAGAGAGATGCTTTGGTCAAGAGACTGGTGTGTTATTGTTAAAGCGAAGATCTAGCCAGGGCTCGTAAGTCGGGGAGCATTCAACTCAACATCCCGCGTTCGATTGATGATGGGCCTGCTCTCTATTCATTGACGAGATGTCCTTGGTCATACACCCGTTCGGTGATTCAAGCCAGGCTCTCGACTTTTCGCTCACTCACTTTCTCAATAAAGGGATCTTTCCACAATATTATTTCTCTGGATGTATGTGAGTTGTGTAACCTTGGGGAGGTAGAATCCCTTTCTCATGTTGTGTTGCGCTGTCTATTTTACTCTACCCCAAGGAGATTTTGGTTGGGCGCTGCGATTGAGCGAAGTAGGGGATTGAATGTTAATGTTGAACCCGACAAAATTCTTATTGATCTATTGCACACATTCCTCGGCGATGAAAATATTATTAAGAGTCTGCACAACTTTGTAAAAGATGCGATGAAAATTAGAAGTTTTCACCTTGAAGTCTAATGGTGGTTTTATGTCGATTGCTCCGCCGGAGTACTTAGATTACTTTTTGTCTAATTGCGAGCTATTCTTTTCTTCTTTTAATGGCAATGTGCGATACTATTTTAGGTTGTAATCTTGTTTTTTTTTTATGTACTGGTATCTTCTAAGGCGATGCTCACGTCATGCACCGATGAAACTCTATTTATGAATGTTTTTTACTTGTGTTAGCCCGATATTAATAATCGCTGTCATTTGCGGATTGTCCGCTACGAGTGAAAACTCACCCTTTGTCGAATATTTCTCACAGTGGAGCAAGAACGATCACGGAGTGGGGGATACGTTCACTATGCAATGGCGACTATCTCCCTCTACGGCACCGTTCGACAGAGAACGAAACCGGCGACAAACGCAACACTCTCTGTCCGTTTCGTGCTTTTTTCAATACACAGGAGGAATAGGGAACCCGTAGTCTAT